CTCTCTGTCTCTCTCTCTCTCTCTCTCTCTCTCTCTCTCTCTCTCTCTCTCTCTCTCTCTCTCTCTCGTCTGGTTGAGATTATACAGGGTAAGACCGAGGTAGAGATGGGCATAGCTTTTTCAATTGAAACACATCTGTATTATTGCAACAAATGATCAACAACATGTCAACACACTCAACAGCAGAGGGTGATGTTTAAGATACAGAAGAATTCTTGTGAAGAAAAGAATTATCGATAATAACGAAATATTAACGTTCTTTTATCAATTATTAACCGTTTTATTAATTCTCTTATTAATTATTAATAAAATAAAACACCTCCACGAGTTTCTTGTAGAAATCAAGGACAATATCGGAGAGAAGGTTGAAAAGTGGCAACACAGAAAAAGACTCTGTGGGGAAACATTGTTTATTAAAGAGAGAACAGAGGAAGAAATCTATTCGGCATCTTTGAACGAAACAAGAAGCTAGTTTAAGATGTACTGAAGTTTTTAATGTTAGGTACCCAGGGAAAAATGATAGTCGAATAGATATCGGATCGACGTCTTTTATACGTCTAAAGCATCTAGAGAACGTCGATCCGATGTCCATTGTTTGCTATTTCTCGCTGAGTAAGCTGCCCATCTAACCCTGATTAAAATGAACCATCTATCCTGTTTGGAAAGTTCGCGTAAAGATGCGTATACCGCGTGAAACGTAGTCTCGGTGACGAATTTTGAGGTTAAGTACGCAAATACGATCTTTTTTTCGTCGTTTAAGCCCGGGTCTAATGTTGTAACTCGAAATAAACCGTATTCGCAAGATATTTTTCCGACGTGTGAAACATTTTGGAGGTTAACGTAGAAACATGGAACATTTATTTACTCACAATAACAGTGTTTTTGCGCATCGGGAAGAGGCATACCTACTGCAACGATAAATCGATAATGTCGAAATATCGATATATCGAGAGACAAATATCGAATATTTATCGATATTTTTTTATATCCGATAAAATCGATATATCGATATGAATTTTATTGATATTTCATATTTTTCAGTTACAGAGTTCTGGGAGCCTATTACGGTTCTACGACCGAGATGAAAATTACAAAAATGAATTCACTAGAATATATTATGTATATATTATGTAATTGGTCGATGTCTATAGTAAGTTCGTTCACTTTTCACCTCGACCGTTGAACCGTGATAGATCTCCTGCTCCATGTATACGGTGATCTCCGGTAAACGATCTGCGGTTTATTATATATTTTCTAATAAGAATATGACAATAAATTATATGAAGACCAAAAATTTTAAAAGATTTAAAAAAATTTTTCATGTATACTCTTTATATGCATACGCCTATATGCACACATCTTTTTATATAGATATCGATATAAATATCGATATTTTTTGAAAATTACCGATATTATTGTTATTGATAGTTATTAGTTATTGATATTAGTTATTAGATATAGATATTAGTTATTGATATTGTGATTTCTAAATGACGATAATATCGTTACCGATATTTTGAGAAATCGTTGCATCCCTACTCATGGTATGGCGCATCCAACTCACAACTCTGACCGATCAGCGCTGACGCCTAGTATATATTAACAAAATTATGGCAAAATTGACCATCTATTCCGGACTTACCCTAGATCTTCATCCGCGGATCAAGTCCCGCATCGAGCCAACTTTATCCAGACAATGCAAACACACGTAATCTTTGTCCGCGTTTCAAAATCAGGGAGGCGTTGTTTTTTGCAAAATCAGCCCGAGCCGACGTTGACGGATGATTTGCTCGCAGCGAGCGAGGAAGTGGAAGTGAAATATGAAAGTATCTGTTTTTGCATCTGGTCGCGGACGTAAGTCTGTCGCACGCGGGACTGCATCGGGATTTATCCGTAATCAGGACAAAGTGCTGAGAGGAGAGGAGAGTACACGTCCCATCTCATCTTGATCCGGCTGATTTAAAAATCATCCAAGCGCACGCACACACACACACACACACACAAATGCAGTCGCGCGCGGCCGGGTCGAAGTTCACGTGCTCGCGGGCGCATGTCGACGATACAAAGGGGGACGCGTTCGAAGCGCGCGCGTCGTCCGCAGGAATTATTAATGGAGCGCCGCTCGCGGTGGATCGCCGGCCGGCGCGACGAGTCTCGGACGTCTCGCGCTCGGATTGCAAACGTTATGAAATCAATCGGCCGGTGATACTGCAGCGACGCAATTAGCGAGCGCCGCCCGTGCGGTCTCCCGGTACTCCTGCAGATGTGTAATCACCCCCCACCCTCCCACGTACCCCGCCGTTGAATTTCTAAATATTGAAACATTGACCGAATATTGCCCGCGCGAACGTTGAATCGCCAGCGAAATTTACCGGAATGTTTCGCGTTTAACTGTGGATCACACGCACGTGCGCGAGAATGTTTCAAATAAAGTATTTAAAATCGACGAGAATGACAGGAGGGGGAGGAGGATGCCCCGTCGAACCTCCGAATACTCGAAAGCACTAGCCGGATGTCGCTCGCTCGCGCGAGTGTCGAACTGTTTCATCTCGTAGGATTAAAAAAGGAAATTTTTAATGAAATTTTTTCCTCCCCTTTTTCTTCCTTCCCTTTTTCCTCCCCTTTTTGCTGTATGAGAATTTTTTTATTCGTTATACCATCGTATCTCAATTAATGTACACCAAAGGGTTCAGACCCGTATATTATTAATGAATAAAATAAACAAATAACTAAATCCAGGATTGAACGCGCGTTACACAGCGAGTATTAGAGCGAGATGCGGAAGAAAGCAACGGCGGGGAGGGGGGAGGCGAGGGGAAGGGGTTTTTTCGTCCGACATCGATCGGCAGCGCGAGCTGCCCGGTTAATTAAATTCGTTTTCTCCACGCGACAGAGAGTCGCATAATCAAGTGAGAGGCCGTGAATCGCTAAGGTGGGATTAGCTGGCTTAAACTGCCGCGGCTGCACAGCCCGGGGAGTTCAGAATTCATTAGCAGCTCCGGAAACGCGCTCGCGAGCGCAGGAGCGCAGGAGCGAGTCGCGTTTCTCGTTGGCAACAGCCTCCGCTCGAGTTAATCCCGGGACAGAGCGGCTTGTTGTCGCCGCCTAGGTTATCTCGCTATCTATCACAAGAAGATAGAGAGCGAGAGGACACGGAGGGGGGGAGGGAGGAGAAAAAGAAAATTCAGTCAGCTAACGGCCGAGGCATCATTTCCCGAGCATCACAACCGGCTTGCACGCGCGCGCGATCCGACCTCACGTCTCTCTCTCTCTCTCTCTCTCTCTCTCTCTCTCTCTGCCGTCGTTCAGCCGACGACTTTGGATTTCTAACGGACGCCAGCTCCGTCGACACGAGGAGCGAGAGCGGCGAGTCAACGAGGACGCGCTCCATTCTTACCTCGCGGCTCTCCGCGGGAGAACGGCTCTCCTGCGCATTAGAATAGCGCGAGCTCGGCCGAGGAGTCGGAGGGTAAAGTCGAAGGTCACGCGATCGAAGCGGCTTCCATATCCCGGTGCTGGCGAGCGAACGAGCGAGCGAGCGCGAGTCCTAGAAGCCTCGATCGCGAGGGACCCGTCGTCGGCGGCGGCGACCCGGATTCGCTCCGAAACCCGATACACACCTCGCCACAGACAGAGAGACGACTCATCGAGGCGTGAAGCCTCGATACATGCCGAAGAACGACGTGTCACGTTTCCGCGTGGATCCACCGTTCGCCTCCGCGAGAGCGAGGCGCCCTTCGGCGTCGCCGAGTTCGGCCGGCCTCTCCTCGGCCTCGTCGCAGGCCGATGTCGCGCCCGAAAGAAACCTCGGCACCGGGGGCCTTCGACCCCCGGCTCCGAAGCGCCTCCGCCGCGGAGGCATGCCGTCACGTCCCGCGGCCCGCGAATCAAATCTCGCGAGCGCCGGCCGGAATCGTCGCCGAGGGTTCTTCTGCGCTCTCCGAGCTCTCACGGAGAGCGGCACGAGAGGAGAATTATCGTCGCTGTATGCTGTTATCTGCATAAAGATGTACAGATGACCGTCCAGATAACCGCGTCTTATCTCTGTCGATAGATTATATTTTTGCTATTGAGTTAAAAGGCCGTCACTTGATGTACGGTGAAGCGTGCGCGACCATCCGAAGGGATATTCTCACCCCTCCGCCGCCTGTGACAGCCAATTATCTTAATGCGCTATCTTTCGATCATATCATCGGAGAAGCGATAACACGCGCGCACCCACGTGACGTGACGTAAAACGCAAAACTAGGCGACAGATGATTCGAGGATCGCTCTCTCTCTCTCTTTCTCTCTCTCTCTCTCTCTCTCTCTCTCTCTCTGTGATTCCCGAGGCCGGCCGCGAAATTTCGCTTCCCATCTATCGCGCTACGGAGCACGCCGGGCAATCTCGTTAGCTTCCGCGCGGGTTGAATGAAAATCCGGGGAGTGAAACGTGTACGTGGCGCTACGTTCGCCGATTTTCCAATACGAGCGAATACGCCGCCGTGGTCGTCGCCGTCGACCGCAGCGACCGCGCGTTTCCTCCGCGCGCCGCGTTTTACGCGGTGTATTTTAACATGGCGGATTTATGTTCCGTGTTTAAGCTTTTACCAGGGATATTTATGTAACGCTTCCGGGGCGCTGCGTTTTAGCGGGCCGCGTATAAATTATAAACGCCGCCGCTTCATACTCGCGCACGCTAATTGTTTCGAGAGTCACCTGACCAGTTCGCTGATGCCGGAAGTCGTCGAGGGAAGTTTACCGAAGATCACAGCGCAGATCCTCGATACCTTCGGTACACCAGCGTCCAAAGACACGCGGAGAGATATCGTCTTCTGCGGTTGCAAAAAAGGAAGGAAAGCAAATCGGCTCGCGCGCGCGCGCGCTGATGAAGGATGAACGCGGTCGATCTTCGAGTCGTCGCGATCGAGTCGGGCGAGAACGGCCGGCAGGTCAACTCAACGGAGCACGCTGCTCGTGACTCCGATCTTGCCCTCCGGCCTCCGTGATGATCCCCTTACCTCTTGCTCTAACCGGCGGAAAATCGACCGCGCGCGCGACGAGCGGTGGCAGGAAGCGATATCGGTGTCGCGATACCGAGTCGTCACTCTGATCGATCACAGCGGATTGCGCTGAAGGAGGCTGCGATCTCACTTCGCCACTGCGTCACGACCAAGCTCTTTCCTTTCTCTCTCTCTCTCTCTCTCTCTCTCTCTCTCTCTCTCTCTCTCTCTCTCTCTCTCTCTCCCTTTCTCGCTCTCGCCTGGAAGAGCGCAAAACGACCATGCACATCGAACGTTGCACAGGGACGGTCACACCGATCACCGATTTGAAAACGTCACATTTTCCCGCGAAGCGGACCGCCGGATTGCCGCGCGACCGCGACGAACACCCGATGGTGGCTCGTCGTGAACTGACAACGCGGGACAATGCTGGCGGCCGAGGTTCGCCGAGCTCGACCGGAAACGACCGAGGCTGCGGCTCGCGCGAGTGTGTTACGTGCGACGACCGATTGACGGCCGCGAGCGGCTATTGATGTTCCGATGCTTTCTGCCAATTCCGCCGGTCGACGGACTCGCGGCTTTCCCGGCGTGTCTGCGGAACGGAACCGCCGTCGTGCTTCTTCTTCCCCCCTTCCCCCCCCGCCCCCGCCAAGCTGCTCCTTCTCCTCCGGCTCTTGCTGCCGCTTTGCTCCTCTTCCTCCTTCTCCTTCATCTTCTTCTTCTTCTTCTTCTTCTTCTTCTTCGTCTACTTCGTCTTCTTCGTCTTCTCCTTCTTCCTCTTCTTCTTCTTCTTCTTCTTCTTCTTCTTCTTCTTCTTCTCCCGGGTTCTAAAGCGTCGACGATCATAGACCGTCGAGCCGATACCATCGCGCTCTCTCGGAGCTCCGGAACTCCCGGAGCAGACACGTTTAGCACACTCGCTATAAATTTAATCCCCGCGCGCGATCCTCCAGCGAGGACGTCTCGTCACGTGCGGGATATTAAGTCGGTGCCGTGTACACGCGCTGACGATGGGTATCGATGTGAACGCGTAAAGGGATTGCACTTGGAGTCGGAGTTGCGCCGAAATTCCACGCCGGCACGCGAGTCCTATCACCGAGCTGATTCGAGGTCTCATTCGGGACTCGATTCGGGAACACTCGCGGAGCTCTTCAGCATTTTTCGAAACGTAGCCTGACGAGTCCCCAGAGCATCCGTTGCACTCCCGCACGTATTCGGGATTCTCGTCTACCTCATTATTATCCTTCCACGCACTGGCGGCTTCTAAGTTTTGGGGTTAACCCCCCTCCCCCCGCCCCTTCCAAATTAAAAGAAATCAGTCTTATTAGATCCGTTAAAAAAATTTAGATGATACAGGCCGATTAACACAGCCGCCCGCGAATCAAATTCTTATGTCTAGGATTTACTGTATCCACAGTAGGAAAAAAGATTCAGTATCTCTAGCAAAACTGTTTAATTGAGGCAATTTTTAATAACAACCAAATATCTTGTTTTATATAACAAAATATTTGGTTGTCTCAACTAAAGATATTCTTCTGCTTTGTTCTCTGGACCAAATGATTTTGTTCTTGGACTTCATGTATAAAAATTAAGCATTTTAGTTATTTTGTCCATAAAAATTACATAATAAGGAAATATTACTTTACATAAACTAAAATAATGCCCGATGGATACTATTTTGTCTTTCTGTGCACTAAAATTTAGATTTTATATATTAAGAAAAAATTATAATATTTTTAACAAAATTCATATAGCAAAAGCTTTTTGGTTGCTATAACAAAAATATTTGTTTACAGGAACGAAACAGTTTTGTCGGGCATATTTTAACCAAATTATTTTGTTGTTACAACAAAATTTTGGTTCACGCAACAATACATTTTTCCTAGTGCAAACTGTCCGATTTCTGCTATATACAATGTTCACTGTTGTTCGCTGAGAGTCTATTAATGATTATAAAAAAAGCATTATTGTATCTTGTTAGAAACCTTATTAAAAATCTTATTAAAAACCCTCCCCATATTATCGACGTCAGGATCCGCTAATGCTTCCCCGAGACACACAAGAAGCATCCCCGAGCTCCGCTCTCATTATCGCTCTTATCAGACTAGACGCGTAAACGGGCGGACGCTTGTTCGATCACCGCCGCCGGCGACAAGGAAAACCCGACGATGGACGCGCACACGCTGCATCGTTATTAACCGATTTCCCTTACTTTCAATCGGCGTCAACGAAGGGTTCGCGCTCGCCGCGGCTTTCCACGCGTTCTCCCCTCAAGGTCTCATCAAGACTCGATTCGGCAACGAACAGCGCGCGAGCTCTTCAGCATTTTTCGAAACGCAGCCTGACGAATCCCCAAGAGCATCCGTTGCACTTCCGCACGTATATTCGGGATTCTCGTCAGAGATTATTATCCTTCCACGAGACGCCGGAAGTATCCTCGAGCTTCGCTCTCATTATCGCTCTTATCAAACTAGGAGCGTAAACGGCGGACGCTTGTCCGATCGCCGCCGCCGGCGACAAGGAAAAACCGACGATGGACGCGCACCGTTATTAACCGATTTCCCTTACTTTCGATCGGCGTTAACGAAGCGTTCGCGTGCGCGTGGCGCGGGGAGTCCCCGGCCGCGCGTTTTTGCAGCGCGCGCGCGCGCGCCGGCGTATATCAGGGACGCAATTTGTTAAACGGACGTCGCGCTTTATCACAGTCGACGGCGGAACGAGACAAATTCAGGCGTCGCGCGAAAGTGACGTTTAAGGTACCAGCGCGGCCTCCTCGTACCGACCGCGACCGGCTGAGCGAGGGGGCAGGAGGGAGGCAGGGGGAGCTCCGTGCGTCTCGACATTTTTGCGTACGACGTGCCTCCGTGCGAATTCGACGCGTTTCGACCGAAGCGCACCCGAGAGAGACGTCGGAAGAAGTTTCCGACTACTTTCCCCCTCCCTCCCTCCCTCCCTCCCCCCGTTTCTCCCGTCATTAATTCGTCATTTATCGGCCGCGAGTTGGTTTGCTTTCCCGGCGAATTATCCGGGTCTTTCTCGATACGCGTCGTTAAATTCGCGTCGTCTCTCGCATTCCCCTCTCCCTCCCCCCTGCCTGACTTTTCTTCTTAAAATCTACTTCCCGCTCCTTCAGCCGCGGCGGCAGATGTCACCGTGACAAATGGCGAAGGCTACGTCGGAGGTTAATGACGAACTTTCCTCGTCGCGGGAGGGGGAGACGGGTAATGAAAATGCCGCGGAAGGACGAGAGAAGATATTGCGGCGCGACTGACCCCGGCGATTCCCGTTTTCCATCGCGCGCGACTTTCAGCAACAGCAACAGCGACGGGCTGATAGAGTCGTCTCTGTTCCCCGCGATAGGCCCTCCCCCTCTCTCTCTCTCTCTCTCTCTCTCTCTCTCTCTCTCTCTCTCTCTCTCTCGGGTTTTATTTACAGTAGTGAGCGCATTCGATGACGACGGCCAGCCGATAAATCGAAACTATCATCGGATCTCGTCGACTCGGGATTTCGATGTCGCGAGCGCACAAATACGGCTTTGTGCGGCCAGACCGAGCGTGTTGATTCACGGCGAAGGCGACGGGAGAAGCATCGCGACGCGACGCGACGCGCGATTTTTAGCGGAGACTCTCCCCCCTTCTCTCCCCTGGCGAGAAATTACTCGCTTCCCCGATATCCTAGCGCGGCTCCTGAGTCCGTGGCCGACCGAATATCACGAGACGGCACAGTTGCACAGACCGAGCAAACGCGCTGCCGTCGTCGGCCGAGCGCGATGAGCGTCGCTCGAGCTCTCGACTTTCCCGCGGCTTTCCGCGGCGACGAGAGTGCCGCGCCGCTGGAGAATCGCGTTCGCCTCGAGGTCGCCTCGAGATCCATCCCTTCGCGCGACTCGCCGGACTCGGCCGCGAAAATAAAGCATCCCAAGTCGGCCAGACGACTTGAGCCGGGCCGGCGAGGTCGCGGAGGCGACAAGGGACGGAGGGACGAGCAGGAGGCACTTTGAAGTCGGAAATAGCCAAAAATTCTCGCCATCCCGTAGCGGCGTCTGCTCTCGCTCTCTCTCTCTCTCTCTCTCTCTCTCTCTCTCTCTCTCTCTCGCTTAGAAAAGTAATCCGGTGCCGGATCGTTGAACTTGCTGCACCGAGTGACGCCGGTAGCCATTAAAAGAGAGAGAGAGAGAGAGAGAGAGAGTGAGTCCCACGAGGGAGCAAGAGAGACGACTCATTGTCGAGGTGGGCGGGAAGGGGGGAGGGGAGATCCAGGAATACACGCCCCGAGGCTGCATCCACCGCTTCTTACGGACACGTAATGATCCGATAAGATGCGCCGGATTATTCGAGTGTAAAGCTCACGCTCGCGCGGTCAGGATCAGCCGGCCGCGGCTATCGCTTCCGCGCACTCCCTGTCTGGGGCCTTCTATTTATAAGAGTCGCTATCGCGCGCGCGCGCGCGAGCGCGCGAGCGACCCAATCAATGGTAAACAGAATCGGCGGGGAATCGAAGAAACGCGGATGCCCGGAGAACCGCGCGCTCACGCTGTTGTTACGTGCCGAGGCTTCTTCAGAGCCTTATCTCAGGACCCCGCGCTTATCAGCCGGATAGTCCATTCCGCTTCCGGACACGGAGCCGCGCATCCGGCCGCCTCCAGACGAACCTGCGTGATCATCAGTGTGCGACGGAAGCTCGTCGAAATTGTTCCAACGGTCGATGAATCGATGATGATCGACCAGGGCGGACGGAGTCGCTCTCACGGAGTGAGAGAGCTGCGACGCGTCTTTGTTTGCCGACGAAAGCGCCCTTTTCAGCCAGCTTTTCTCACCAGACCACTTTTCAACAGCTCGTGGTACTGCACACCCTTCTGATCCCAGAAGAAGAATCCCAAATACAGAGCATTGCCTTCTTTCCATGGATATTCCGCTTTGGCGTCGATGTTGAGGGTTGGCCGGGATCGTAAATAGTTTTGCGACGTTTGAAGTTGTCAGAATAAATCCATTTTTCATCCCCGGTGATGATACGATGTAAAAACCCCTTTCTTCGTTGCCTAGCAAGCAGAATTTCGCAGGTGGTTTTTCGCCTTTCAATGTCTCTTGGCTTCAGTTCATACGGGACCCATTTTCCTTCCTTGTAAACCCTTCCTAAGGCTTTCAAACGATCGGGAATGACAGATTGAGCACTATTTAATGCTCCTGCAAGTTGCTTTTGCACGGGTTTGACACGGGTCTTCGTCTACCGATGCAATTCTTGCAATTCTTCGTCTTCGAATACTCTTGACCGTCCAGAACGCTCTTTGTCCTCTACATCAAAATCACCACTTTTGAAGCGTCGAAACCATTCTCTGCGTGTTTTATCGGAAGGAGCATTATCACCATAAATTTCTACAAGCATTCGATAAGCTCCAGCTGTAGTTTTCTTCCAATTGAAGCAAAAGATTAACACTTCGCGCAAATGACGCTTATTTGGCTCAAATTTCGACATTTTCGATGCAGTCAAAAACAATGTTATCGATGCAAACGTACATACCTTTACGTATACCTGAATGTTATTGACAGATGTCAAAGCAAACCATTAAGCTTCGTTCAGACATTAGAGGTTAACGACGGTTCTAGCTACAGCTACTTGCCTC